TTGGGCATAATGTTTTCCCATTCCAAACCACCTGATATTCCCTTGATAATAAGATTTTTTGTTGTGAATATCCATATTCATGTATATTCATGTATCTTCATGTACGGCCGTCAAACTTGTAAAGGAATGACACTCCTAGGGAATGACGTGTAGTCTGAAATGGGAGAACATTACCCCCAAGGCATAAAGTTCTATTAGTGAAAAAGTATTGGTCTCTACTGGTCACGGTCCAGGTATATTTGTGTTTACTAAGCTGAGGAAGTACATAATGTTAAATATATGAAATATGAAAGAAATTGATGCTCTTTTGGGCACATTGCCATTCATTATGTTTCACATGGTCGATGTCAGCTATGTCATTAGTGGCGACTAAAACATAAGAAAGCTATTAAGGGTTTGCAACTCCATGACCACCATACTTGCACAATTGTATTCAGAGGTTATCATTGCTGCTTTTACCATCTTATTTGAAACTCATATGAACTTGTATATTCTTATAAACAGGCAGAGGAAGAGGAAAGGGTCAAGGTGCTACCAGTCAGCGAGGGCGGGGAAGTAGAGGGGTTGCTAGGGGAAGAGGAGAAGGGCGTGGCAGGGGTAGAGGCTCACAAGGAGGAAGAGGAAAAAAGACGGCCCTTATAACAGACTGTGAGTTTGAATGTCTTCATCCTATTTATGCTACATATGTACTGCTTTAAGATATCGTTTATTCTTATCGTAATAATAATAATAATAATAATAATAGTAATATATCTAGTGTCGATCAAAGTAGAGCAACGGCTTTTTTTATTTCATTTTTTGTTTATGTACAATTTAATTGGGGCATGAATTTTCGGGTGTTTGATTGTTTTTTTGTGTTTTTTTTTTTATCAGTCGCGAAAATAAATAGGAATATTCTAGTTCCAACTCCTTCCATTCAGTTTACTGAGTTCTTTAGTGATACGCAAAATAGGCTCTTAATTGAAAAAATCTTTTCTGTTTTATCTATCGTTATTGCCTTAGCTTTTTCACTTGGATCAGGGAAGACCAAAGCAGATGCAACGGTACGTAGCTATAACAGGCAGTGGATCTGTATCATTTATTTTGTCGTCAGTGTAACTATGAGCAGCTGCGTTTGAATAAAAATGGCAAGAACGGGAAGCCAATTAGAGAATGTTCTATGCTATGAAATAAATCTAACTTGATATGTTTCTGATGTTTTCAGATGATAAGCAGCTCAGATGATGATGAGGAGTTTAATGCACCACTTTCATCGCACAGAACCAGCACACAGTGAGTAATGTCTGCATGAGTGGTTTAGTTTTGATCCGTTTACGACTCGGGTGGATCGAGAATATAACACATTTTGCATCGCAATAAAAAAGTCTTGTGTTGTTTGGTTACAAGTGGATGGACAAGCAGAATGAATGGATAAAGGGATGTACGAATGTATGGGTGGGTGGATGGAGCACTGAATGAATGGATAGAAGGTAGGAAAGGATGGATGGAAGATTGAATGGAATTTATTTTCTGAGTATAGTTTCGCCAGTTGGATACATAAAAAGAGCATGTGCAAGTAACATTCAAAATAACGAAAGAAAGAAAGAAAGATATCAACTCGCTAGGGTATCCACTGTAACAACAATTGGCAATTACTGCATACGGGCCTAAACAATAAGAAACCCTAACAGTAATAGCTACAATGTAGAAGTAACAAGTTTACCCTGTGAGCAGAGATCATTTTCTACAACAAGTTGGACTCTTAGTTGAACTGTGCGCTCTGTTACAATACATGTTGGCATATAGTTATTAAAGACGTTTGTTTCTTCAACAAATAATGAGTTTTACCCGACTTTCAGGCGCATTACACATCTCCAGGGTACAAATGGCTCAACGAAAAAAATTCTATTAACAAACAAAAGCTGCGCGCACTCACATACATACTACTACGAGGCTATACTGAATCATCATGACAGGCTGAAGAAACAAAAGTCTAATAAGTTCAATGCCAACTAACGTCATTTTGAAATTTAGGGGTACAGTTTTCCAGTGTTTGATCGATTGATTGAATGGTTGGATGGAAGTATTGATGGAACGTAAGAAAAAAGGAGAGGATGGCTGGATGGGACGGGAAGAATGGATGGGAAGGATGAATAAAGTGGATGCATTGAAAAAATGAAATTTTCACGATTTTTGCAGAATAAAAGGTCCTTCAACTCCATCTCACTCGAGTTTTAAAAAGAAAACCATAGAATACGAGGTAAATCAACAATTTATCATTGAAATTGTAATAAGTGATACTCAAAAACTCCAAAAAATGCTACTACTGATGCATACTACAGTGTACGAGTAAACCAGTATGTATCACTCACGACGGAGGCAAAACAGTGTTGGAAATGCTAATGATGATCTGTCAATACCCAATAGTGCAGCGCGCAGAAGACGTCATAAAACATGGACGATGGCGCAACTCAGACAAACATATTATTTTCATAGCCGATCCCCTTAGATCTTTGTTTAAATGAGTTATTATTCTAACTTAAGGTAAAAAAAAAAGAAAAAAAAAAACGGTTCGTGTAACTCTCGACACGGTTAAACGGAATACAAAGTTTGTCTGAGTCTTAAAGCTATTTTTAGAACCTGCGCGCTGCGCTATTAGCCAAAAAGGGATTTATATATTTCATAACCAAACGACTTCACTGGAACGGATATCGTAACCCCTTACTCGTTTGTTTTTTGGTTTGATAGCATAGCTTGTTGGTTTTTCCTTTCCTATTTCTTTCACTGGACGAAATGTACCACTAGACCCCTTTGGACCAATGAGAGTGCGAGAAAATCTATCGTTGAGTTATGATGCCAATTAGTCTAAACCTTATAGAGCGAAGGCATTTAACCCGTGAAATGAAAAATACAAGTCAAAATCAATAGTCAAATAGACACAAATGAAAACAATAGAATATTATGGTCTGTTAATGTCTAGTGTCTATGGTCTGTCTATATCTAGTTCACGGGTTTAGTGACTTCAATCTAATGGTCTATCACAAATCCTGATCTGTGATTGGTTGAGTTACTAATGGTCTATCAGTGATATCACCTGTTGGAAAAAATTCCCAGCTTTGACAACCAAAAAATTGCGAATAACTTGCTGATTTCAACCTACTTTTTTTTTTTTTTTTTTTTTTTTTTTTTTATTCATTTTTTTGACCGTTTTTTAGGTTTGGTCTAAAAGAACTTGTCTCTCTCATGGTNTTTTTTTTTTTTTTTTTTTTTGTATCTTATGATCCATTTATTTGACCGATTAGTAGGTTTGGTCTAAAAGAACTTGTCTCTCTCATGGTCTAGAAGTCTCGTAGACCATTCGGTCTGCCGGTCAAATTGTTATCATATCCCAACGATGAATTTTTGACGCTGTCATTGGTTCAAATAGGTCACGTGCAGGAAGGATATCAGACAATATCCCCGTCCGAAGTTATATCCGTCCAGTGAAAAATAAATTACGTAAGAACAAAGAGCAAAAATATGAAAAACAAAGAAACTCTGTTTTTACAAACGAGTGATAGTGAAATTGAATATTCGGACCATTTCTTATCCTCGTACATAATCATCCAAAATCACAGCCACTAGAAGGGTTTTTTTACTAAATACTTTCTGTCGATTATATTTGTTAGGAGAGTGACGATTCTGATAACCCGTTCAGTTTAGAGCCACGCAACAAGAAAGTGCGAAGATAGCCAACCCATTGACGTCACCAGTACCACTTACTACCACGTGACAAATGCCGTAAACATTCGACGAAAAATATTCATATTTTGCTTATTTACATCAAATGGGTCCATGTTTTATAAAGAGTAGAAAAAAGGAAACAGAAAAATACTTTTATTAGGTAAGAAGATTTTATTTTTAAGCATTAATTGATTGTAAATACAAAATGTTTATTCAAGCTGGCATAAGTGTTTTAATAAGTTATTTGTCAATGGTCTCGCATGGTAGAGTGCACGCCATATATCCGTGAAACAAAACAAAACATTATATATGGACCGTTTTGTCAAGGTTGCGTGCGCATCCAATCTTGCAGCCAAAAAAAATGAAAAATGTAAAGGCAGTCCAATTGAGAAGCCATGCAGCTTTAGATATATTTAAAAAGGAGAATAACTGATTTTATGAATTCTTATCGAAAAATCTCAGAAATGTATGATAATTCTCATTATAAAGCTCCTGTTCTGGTATGTTGGTCCGTCAAGTTTCCAATCTCGTACCCAGAGCCTGCGTTTCTTCTGGCCTGCGGCGAAGAACGAGGGCTCTGGCATAATCCATATTTTGGCGCATGCGCAATTTTCGGAAAGTGAGATATAAACGGTCAAAATAAGCAAAGTAAAAATTAAATCGAAGTCAAAATCAAAGTAAAAATCATAGTACAAATTTAAAATCGGGGAAAAAATATTTTTAATCTTTGGCAAGTCTTTGAACGCGTGCGCTGTTATACCGGAAGTCCAAGAAATCCTGGTCTCAAAAAATGAATTATGCCAGAGCCCTCGTTCTTCAACGCAGGCCAGAAGAAACGCAGGCTCTGGGTACGAGATTGTCAAGTTTCTTAAATTTGGATGCGCGCGCAACCTTAAGAAAAAGGTCTATTTTCTAGCTGCAGCTATTTTATAGTGGATGTTACTGGAGCAGAACGTTAGGAGCAAAAGCAAATACCTTTACGTGAATTTTTATATCTGACTTACAACCTCATGGTTAATAATCGTTTCACGGATATATGGCGTGTACACTGCAGTTGTTTTAGTTGCATTACATGGCTTGTAGCCTTTCAGTCCAAAGGACGTACACAAAACTAAAAAGAGTTATTCTTGCATTAATTAGTAGCTAATCCTATAACTGAAAAGGAACATGAAGTAATTCTTTCATCTTTTGTTTTCATAATAATTTGGGGTTCATGTATTAATGTCACTGCTCTTTTCTTTCTGAGCGTTGCTTCTGTTGTTTTGGCTTGTAAAGCATCAAAACCTTTTCTTTATCTCCTTTTTCGTTTCGATGGACTTCTTTCAACTTTTGCTTTGCTTTATCGCCTTTTACGACAAAGTCGTTATCGCTCTTTGCTTTTTCCGCTATAATAGGAAAAAATAAACCATTTTATTAAAAAGCCACAAAACATTGAAATGAAAGAATTTTTTTTGTTTTGCAAGGGGAATTTTTCGGTGTAGTTTGCCGCCAAGTCAGCAAGTACATCACCGTTAACACTCAGAATGTGGTGTTCAGTGAAAAATTCTTTTTTGAAAAGTTCGATAACAAGCCATAGTCTATAAGACAATATACTGAAAGATGGTGAATGATCTACTTACAGTTGCAGTTCAGGGCTGTGCAAACCCAGTGTCCACAGGCACAGACACTATTAAGAAAAAAGAAGCAACATCAATGTTTGTTGAACCCTGAACAAAATTTCAAGTTGATCCAAGTCAGAGCACGTCTTACTAACAGATGTAATATTAGAATTTAGGATGCTGGATTTTTCTTACAGAATAGAATAGCGGATGATCAGAAGTAAAAGACCTCTAATCAAGGGAGAGACTCGATTTAAGTGTATTCAAGAGAGCATAAATCACAGCGGGAATCTTCTTAATATCGCGCGCGCCATGTAAATTCCAGGTTGGGCTATTTTTAGGAACCGAGCCAGGTACCGAGCGCAGTTCAAATTTCGCCTTACCCTACTCCCGTGTGTGAACTAGTGCGCGCTTGCGCTCTTTCCGTTTGCAATTTTGATTTCGTTTTTACTGATCAAGACAATTAACGGCAAGAGCGCACTCGCGCGCTGGTTGACGCACTGAGGTAGGGTAAGGCGATATATTTGAACTGCATCCGGTTTCTAGCCCAACATGATGCGCGCGATATTAAGACGTTTCCCTCTCTTATATTTATGCTTTCTTGGCGTATTAACAAGTCTTACCAGGTATTACATTCTGCTGGGATTTCTGCACCGTCATCAAAGTATTCCCCCTCGAGCTCACAACCTTTAGAAACAAGATTAAGAATTGAGAAAAGAACATCCACTCGTTCTGTGAGTTGATATGTGTGTTACTATGGCAAGGCACTCGGACGAGGGAAGTTATTTTACCAGGTATTTGCCTTGCAATGCTACGCTCTTTATATTCTCCGAAATTTAGCTCTTGGGACTGGATCTTGGTGTAAGTTCTGAGTTTTGCAGTGACAGTGTGGTAATTTCATGAATGCTTTACTTCGCTTATTCTTACTTACGTTCTTTTGGTGGCTTGACAGCTGTTGAGACATTAAACAACTATTAGTACAAACGGCATATTCCTAACTGAAAACATAATATTCCCTTTAAATCTTTCTTCTGGCATTTATAATGACTAGGTTTTGACTGGCAAATCATAAAATTGTTATTATCACGTTCAGAAATAGAAAGGAAATAAGAATGATGTTACCTGGATTTAAGCACTTCATAAATTCATGGAATGTAAGCTCCCAATCAGCGTCTTCATCTGAGACTGCGATCAACGCATCTGCGCAAAGCCCTTGCAGAACAGGATTGATAAATTTATCGGCACCTGGCATCTAAGAGTGAATCCAAGTATAATGTAAACATGTTTAGACTTACAAGTGGAAGGAGTCTAATGTTTCTCTAAATCTAATATCGGGGTTTTGGGGTTCCTGTTTCAACTATGTGCCCGTGAGAAAACCCCTCGGCATCATTAAAGTGCACATGAACCCTTTGACAATACTTTCAGTACTG